TTTGTGTCTTGTATGAAAAATCCTGCCACATTCCAAAAGTTTGGAGGGCCTTCCAAAAGCCCCATAGGCTGGCCTTTCACTCGTGGGCCTGTCTCCTTTGATCTAAGTGTCTGATGTTAGATCAGGGTCCAGTTTCATTTTGCCCAAGCACCTTGCATTGGAAGGCCCATTTCCCGTGGGGTTCATGGACGTGGCTCTGTGTCGGGGCTCTCGGTTCTGTTCTGTGTGTATCCTTGAGCCGGTTCTGTGCTTGCCGGATTCCTTGAGCTTCATGATAATTCCTAATAATAAATTCTTTCACCTTGTTCTTATTCACAGCTGTTTTGCCCTTTATCCTTCCAGAACTATATTTTATTTTATTTTATTTTATTTTTATTTATTTATTTTTTAAGATTTTATTTGACAGTGAGAGCAGGAACACAAGCAGGGGGAGCAAGGGAGAGGGAGAAGCGGGCTCCCCACTCAGCAGGGAGCCCAATGTGGGGCTCGTTCCCAGGACTCTGGGATCATGACCTGAGCTGAAGGCAGACACTTAACGACTGAGCCACCCAGCCGCCCCCCAGAACTGTATTTTAGATCCAATGTAACTTTTTTAAAAAGTTGGAAATTTGATTGAGATTGTCCTGAGTCGTGGTCTCTGTTTGGTGAGAATTGGTCCCTATCTCTCCAGGGAGTCTTTCTGACTGTGAGCGGGCATCTGACTCTGCTTATCCAGGCCACCCCTCCGATGCCTTTTACTGAAGTTCTTCTTTGTCTCCATGAGATTTGTTCCTGTCATTTTTATTATTATTATAAATAACGTATTTCAAAATTTTATTTTCTCACTGCTCATTGGTGTATGGACATGCAATTCTTTATACTGATTTTGTCTCCAGGAACCTTGCTAAACTGTATTAGTGATTGCTACAGTTTATCCACAGACTCTCCAGTTTGCTACATGAACAGAAATGTATCTTTTGCAGATAATGGCCGTTTGCCCTCCTTTGAGTTTAGATGCGTTTTCTCCGTCTTTTCTTGCTGCTGCCCCAGCTGTGGCCCCAGCACAGCGCTAAGTAGTGACGGTAGTGGGCTTCCCACCTTTCCCCACTGCGAGTGATGCTTTCTGGAAGGTTAAGAAACCTGTTATATTGGGGCACCTGGTGCCTCACTTGGTTGAGTGTCCGACTCTTGGTTTTGGCTCAGGTCGTGATCTCAGGTCAGGGTCCTGGGATCGAGGCCTAAGTCTGCTTGTCTCCCTCTGCCTCTGCTTCTTCCCCCCTCCCCCCACTCACACTCTCTCTAAAATAAATAAATAAATCTTTTAAAGAAAAAGAAACCCTTTATATTAAACTAAGGAAGTTCCATTCAATTAATAATCTGCTAACCTTTGAATTAATGCTGAATTAAACACTTTTTGTGTCCATTGAGGTGATGGTATGATTCCACCCATGTAGTCTGTCAGTGTGCTGATTTGTTTGTTGATTTTCTCAGTTAAACCAACCTTGCATTCCTGAGGGAGCCCAGCCTCGTCCTGGTGCAGTTGTGTCCCCACGCCCTGTGGGACTCTCACACCTCACGTAGGCGTGACTGAAAATGGCCCGAGTGCTCTTCTGTGGTCTCATCTGCTCAGGTTTTGCTCTCAGGGTTGCTCCAGCCCTGGAACGGAGTTGAGGAGCGTCCTCTCTGCCCCCGGCCGTGGACCGCTTCCTACAAGGCCGGCTTACTGGACGTGTGCTGGAACCTCAGGAAGACCCTGGGCTGCAGCTTGCTTTGTTTCTGAACTACTGATTCACATGCATTTATGGTCAGAGGAATATTCACTCGGGTTTTGTTTTTCTTGTTGACAGATGTTTCTAGAATTTGTCAGTTTCATCTGTGCTTTCAGGTTCGTTGGCATTAAAGTTGTTGGTTACGTTGCCCTGGTGGCTGTTTCTCCACAGTGCCAACAGTCAGGGCACATTTGTCCTTCCTAACGCTTATGTGTCCGTCTTTATTTCCTGATTCGTCTTATCAGACACAGTTACTAGTATCTTCAAAGAACCAACTCTTTGCCCTCTTGGTTTTTGCTGTTCTTTTGTCATTTCATTTGTTTCTGTTCTTGCCTTGTATTTTCCTCTGCTTGGTGTGGGTCATTCTGCTGTTCCCCCACCTGCTGAGCCGGTCCGCTTCGCTAGCAGAGCCTGAGGACTTCTCTCCGTTGGTTCTTGTTTGACCTAGCAATTATTTAGTAGTGTCTGTGCTAATTTCCAGGTGTTCGGGGGGTTTTCTGGGGCTTCTGTTTGGTGGTTTGACTTTGCTCTTTCCTCAGAGGGCCTAGTCTATGTGAAGATGTGAGGCCTTGGAACTGGAGACTCAGTTTGTGTCCAGTATGCTTCTGAAAGTAGCCGTCTGCCATCGTTGTACCTTCTTGAAAACTCTTGGATGATTCGAGAACATTCTTTACATCCGACCCTGGATGTGTGGTTGTCCTAGGGAGGAGGGTCATAGCTCAGACCAGAACTGCCCAGTAGGAAGGTCCACCGGATATGAGCCACATGGGAGATTTTAAGTGTTCTAGTAGCCACCTTAAAAAAGCAAAAACAGAAGCGGTAAATGAATTTTAATCTGCCACACATTTCCACATGCAGTCAGGGAGGAAATGTAACTGTGGCCTTCTACGTTCTTCCTTCTTGCTGAGCCCAGCCTTCTCTGATGTGGTGGGTGCATGCTGCCGCCCAGGCTCAGGGTGGCCGCGTGGCTTGTGGCCACTGCCCAGGACAGCGCAGGTCCCGGCCCCTCTGGCCGCCTCTCTGTGTGCACTCGGCATCCAGGGAAATAGCTTCTCTTGTCCGGTGCCAGGCCCTCTCCATGCAGAGACCCTTCCTGTCCCCTCCACCCCCGACCCCCGCACAGTTGCCCTCCCTCCCCAGCAGACCCCACCCTCTGGACTCTCCTGCTCTTAGAGTGGGCCTCACGAGGCTTCAACTTGGTGTGGAGGGCATGGGGAATGAGCAAGTGAGCAAGCATTAGCTTTCTCGTGGGGCAGGGGTGGGTGCGGCCCCACCACAGGGACAAGCTGACAGGGGGTGCCGTGGGTGTTCAGGGGTCCTACAGCCTGCCCAGATGGCTCTGCCAGTTCCAGCCTGCTCCCATCTGCACACCAGCCCCCAAGCACTGGTGTGAGGGGCTTCCCCCTGCTGGGGGGCAGGTGTGAGGCCAAGAATGGGACTGGTGCCCAGATTCTGCTCCAAGAATGGGCACACGCTCTGTGCAGTCCTCAGCCAGGCTCTTCATGCTGCGTGCTGGGAGCAGGGCCGAGACCGGGGCCCTGGGGACCGGCTCCCAGGAGGGAGGTTTTGGGCCCGGCAGGTAGTGGCTTCGAGGCCGCAGCCACATATTTCCAAGCAGTTCAGCCAGTGCAGGCCCCCCCGTGCTGGCTGTGAGCGCGGCAGCCCAGGCTGGTTTTCCCCTCCGTTCTGGGTGGGATTGGCAGGCACTTTGCAGCACTGCTTGTTCGGGACTGTGTCTCTCCTGTCTCCTGGTCAACATGAGGGGCAGTTGCTACATTCCGACTCGCCCAGGTCATGCCCACTAAGCCGGCTGCAGGGGCGGGTAGAGATCAGAACACCCCTCCCCTGGAAGGGCCTCAAGCAGGAAGTAGGTGCAGAGCAGGCCTGGAGAGTTGGGCCCATCACTCCCGATGGCTCCTGCCCCTGGAAGCGGGTGGGCCGAGGAAAGGCAGGCCATGGTCAGAGCTTCATGGTTCCCTGTGGGCCTGGTGGGCAGAGCTGAGGCCTCGTGTTGCCCCGAGCACCTGCTGGATGGCGCGCCCCAAACTGGGTATAATTAGCCACCATGACAGGTGTGGTGGATCGGGTGTGCGCTGGCCTCGGCCGACCTGGGCACCCCTGGGCTTGTAGCCTAAACCCCATGCAGTAAGGCCCCCCAGGCATTGAGCCTCCCCCCACATCCCCATCTCCTGCAGTCAGGAGGGGGGATCAGTGCCCCAGGAATCCCCAACCCAGCCGAGCGAGACCCCCAGGCCAGCCTCGGTCCCTGCCTTCCGTCCAGGCCCAGGGTGCTGGCCCTCATGCTTCTGATGGCTCGGGGCCTTGGATGGTTGGCAGTGCAGGCCGCTCTGGCCTGGGGGCCTGAGCCCCGGGGGCGCAGAGCAGGCAGGGCCCGCCCACACGGGGCAGGGGCCTTGGCGGGCTCCCCCAGCTGCACCTCTTCTCCCCCCAGTGCAAGAAGAAGCACACACTGCTGTGCCCTGACTTCTCCCGCAGGGGCCTCTGCCCCCGGGGCGCCCAATGTCAGCTGCTGCACCGAGGCCAGACGCGCCTCGGCCGGCGGGCAGCCCCCACCCCGGAGCCCGGCAGCGCGCCCCCCAGGAGCAAGGCCTCCTCCAGCCACGGACCCAGGTGACGGGGACAGCGGGGGCTGCGAGTGTAAGCTCTGGGGGTGGGCTGGAAGCCGTCCCTCGGGACCCTGCGGGGGAGCCTCTAGGCCCCTTGCCAGCTCTTAAGGCTTCAGACCCAAAAAGAAACCTCAGTTCAAAGTTGAGGATCAGTGACCTCCAGAGGCGCCCTACCCCACATCCCCAGGCTGGACAGAGCTGAGGACATCCCTGGCCCAGAGTGGCCTATGTGGGACTGCCCAGTCCCTGCCCCACGGAGGAAGGTCGGGGCTTCTCAGCTACCCCACTCCCACTCCCCAGGAAAGGGAGGATCCTGGGTGGTGCTCACGGCTGGGGCCCCCCTTTGTGCTCACCTGTCCTGTGAGTGGGCTCACTGGCAGGTGAGAACAGGGTCAGTGTGGAGCTGGGGCTCGCTGGCCAGGCTCACCCCAGCTGCCTCAGGCCAGAGGCGCCGTGTCGTCACCAGCCTGTCTTTGGGACCGAGGGCTGGCCTCAGACCTGGATGGCGATGCCCCGTGGCTGCTGGGACAGGTGCTGAACAGCTGGTCAGCTAGCGCCCTCTGGACCCCAGCCCTGCCGAGCAGCCGCCCACCCTCACACTTCTGCTCCCCTTCCTTTTCCGCAGGAAGTCCTCGGCTGCCCAGCGCCCCACCAGACAGACGCCCAGCTCCCCTACCTCCATGGCTGCTGGCTCGGCCTCCCCTCCCTCCTCCCCGCGGGGGTTAGCCGCAGCCTCGGGCTCTCCCCTGTCACCCAAGCCGCCCTCCTCCCCGCTCTCCTCCTCCTCCCTCCTCCCCTCGCCCTCCTCGCCCTCCCCCTCCCCCTCCTCCCCCTCGCCCTCCTCCGCTTCACTGTCCTTGGACCAGGAGGAGCTGTCTCTCCAGGAGGAGGCTGCCTCGGCAGCGACTGGCTCCAGCAGCCTCTCCAAGCTGCCTTCCTTCATCTCCCTGCAGTCCTCGCCGAGCCCAGGAGGCCAGCCCAGGGCCCGGACCCCCAGGAGCCCCCCAACCAAGGACTCAGGTAGGCAGCTTGGCCCCAGTGCCCACCTCCGACCCACCGAGTCAGAATTCCCAGGTGGGGCCTGGATGGTTGACGAGCGCCCAGCATGGGCCAGGTGCTCTGGGCCACGTCCCCCACTGGCAGGTGTGCACCCCCCGCCCACCGGGGCAGAGCTGGCCGAGGTGTGAGCGCAGCCGCGCCGCCGCCACGCAGACCACCCCAGCCGAGGGCTGATTTAATTAGGAAGCACCCATTTCTGTTAATTTGTTCTGGAAGATCACCGCGCGCTCCTGGAGAGAACAGATGTTTCCTCTCCCCCGATGAACATTTGGGGCTTGGTAAATGGCTCCACTCAGCCTTGTTTAGGAGAGAAAAGAGGATTTTATGGCTGCAAACGACCCTTTCTGTAAACATTTTACAGCTCTCCGCGCGTTTGAGTGACGATAAACCCCACGCAGCTCGGCGGGCTGCAGATTTGCGACCATACGGCTCTCATTTTATTGTCATATTTCACGGTCGTAACGTTAATGGAAGATGCTTGCCGCAGGCTTCTCTAACGGCTCCGCTGAGCACGCTCAGACGCCTGCCTCCGAGGGGCCGGGACGACGGTGCCTGTGTGTAGCCCCCACTTCAGGGCGCAGACCTGTGGCCAGGCCCTCCACCTGCCCGCCCGGGACCAGGGCACCAGCTACTTCCATCCGGGCAGGCCTCAGCGGGGTGGGGAGGGAGCAGGGTGGGGGGGGGGGCCCGAGGCCGCCATCCCCAGGGTCACTGGAGGCTGGCAGGGTGGGCAAGGCCCAGGGGAGGCTGCAGAGACCGCCACTGGCCTTGGAGCCTTCATCAGCCTCATTTCCTGCTCGGCCCTCCCCCGACCTGGGCCAGGATGGGGAGCTGGAGGGGCAGGAGGAGGTGGGCCTGGGAGGGCTCTGGGGCAGGAGGCCAGCAGCCAGCCAGTAGGGGCCACGGCCCGCAGGCAGAGGCCGTGGAGTCTGTGGACCTGGAGCCTTGGCTGAGCAGGTGACTGGAGTCCTCAGTCCTGATGTGGGGGACCCAGGAGGAGAGGCAGGCTCATGGGGACACGTAGATGGTGCCGTGCCTCAGGGCAGCCACGTGGAGGCATCTGTGGTCAGCGGGGGTGCCAGCCTGAGAGGTGGCCTGGAGCATTCACAGCAGAGGAGAGGCATTGAGGCCCCGTGAGCGTGGGGTACACCGCGCCCGAACCCCCCATTGGACGTGACTTCCTGTCCTCAGGCCCTCTGCTCTGCTGCGGGAAGCCGTCCCTGCCCCCAGGCCCTCTTGCCCCTAGGCCCTGTCCCTCTGTACAGGGACCCAGGTCCCTCCACCCCTTCCCAGCCAGCTGCTCGCTCGGCTGCTGAGCCAGAAGGCACGGTGAGCGTCCATGTGTGCGTCTGGCAGCCTGGCTCCGCGTGGGAGCGTGGGTACGTCGTCGGGCCTGCGTGCAGCTGGCACAAGCCTGGTATTTATAGCCCCGCCAGCAGATTGCTGTGACTCCCTGGACCCCAGCGCAGGCAGGGGGCTGGAAGGAGTCTCCCCCAACCTGAACCGGAAGCTTCGGCAGTAGGGGCGCTCCTCCTTGGCTGGGGGGGGTTCCTGGCACCTGATCTTTGCCCCTCTCGGAACAGGGAAAACTCTGCACATCAAACCCCGTCTGTGAGGGCCCAGGGGGCCAGCCCGCGCCTACCTCAGCCCCTCGTTCCTGGAGAGGAAGAAGGCCCATGCCCCAGAGGAGAGGCCGCCTGCCACCGAGTCCCCCCCGGGAGCCCCGGGGCCGTGGCTCTGCCCACCTGGCCCTCAGCCTTCCGTGACCAGTGTGTGCTCAGGGCTCTGCCCAGCCAGCCCCTCTGCACACCCACCTTCCTCCCAGTCCCCCCAGCCCAGAGGGGTGCCGGGCAGGGCTCCCAGCCAGGCCTGTGCCCACGCACCCCCCACCTCCCCCCGGACTCCTGCCAGGCTCCCTGGTGGGTGTTTTATGTCCAGCAATAAAGGTTCTGTCCTGTGTCTGCTTGGCTCTTCTGCCCGCCGTCACACCGCGGCCCAGCCCTGCCTGCACCAGCTTGGAGGGACACGCACTGCCCAGACCCCGAGGCACCCCCTCCAAGGGGTGCCCCATGGAAGAAGAAGGCCTGGCCACAGATCCTTGGCACCTACAGGGTCTCTGGGTAGGAATGTCGGCCCTCCTCCCTGCCTTCCTGAAATGGCTCAGAGGGCTGGAGGTGACTCCTCCCCATGGCCAAGCCCACGTGGTTGGTGGGGAGGGGCCCGGGAGGGGACCCTGGGGACGTGTTGGGTGCGACAGGCTGGAGCCAGGGGCCCCAAGCTAGGGTTCCGTCCCCAGCCCCTCCTCTGGGTGTCTCGGGACAGTGGCTGGGCCGACAGGGACCCTGAGAGGCTGGGGCCGAGGACTGGAAGGGGCACAGGGCCATTCTGAGGATTTCCCCTCACCGCCCCCCCCCCCAGTCACTCCACACGTGAGTGTGTCCCCGCACCTCCCTCCCCAGCTGGCCGCCAGCTCTGCGTCTCAGCCTGGAGTCGGGTCTGCTGCCTCACTGTCCCTCCTCTGCCTGTCCCTTGTGGGCCCGGCTTGCAAGGGCCAGCGCTGGCCGGTGTGTGAGGGCCGCCTGTGGGGACGGCGCAGGCCTCAGCCCACACCACGCCCTTGAGGGGCCCACTGGCCGGAGCAGATCCCCCCTCGGCCCAGCCCACACGCAGACGGGCAGACACTCCAGCCCCACGAGGCCGTGATGGGGAGCGGGCAGTGGGGAGGCGTCCCGCTCCCCGCCAGTCCATGACTGAGGGGTGGCATCCCTGTCCAGCCGCAGACGCGGTGAGGACGGGGCTGGCTCACGGCGAGGGGCCTGGCCTGCGTCCATGTCAGCAGCCGGCTGGTGAAGCAGAACGAGAGTTCGCAGTTAGTTGTGATGATCGCGGCTGCCCCCCGTCCGGGGCCCCCGTCCGGGACCCCCCGTCCGGGACCCCACGCTGACGTCCCTGGGGCCTGAGGCGCGTGCTCGTGGCCCCTGCTGCCGCTGACTTGGCAGCATGGTGGGTTCTGGAGTCAGGCCTGGCTGGAAAGAAAGGGACTCCCCGTCAGTAAACAGTGGGGTCCCCACTGTGGGCCAGCCTTCCTCCCCGCTCAGACGAGCAGGGCCGATGGCGCAGGGCGGGGGGCTCGGAGTCTGGGCGCAGCACTGGCAGGGGGGGCTGCACAGCTGGGGGCTGCAAGCAGCGTGGCAGGCGGTCCCCGGGGCTGGAGCTCGGGCCGCCGGCTGCTGCCCTGTCTCCTGCCCCCTCCTCCCTCGGGGCTCCCTCTCGGCCCGCACCGTGACCTACCCACTAAGGTTGAACCTTAGATGAGGGAAGGGGCTGGGGGATAAATTCCCTCCTCTGCCTGGACAGCCGGACAGACGGCTGGAGACACAGTTGTAAGTCCAGTCTGATCTCAGGCCCTCACCTCCTCCGGCCTCCCTGCTCTTCCTTTCCCAGTGGACAAGGGGACACGCACCCCGTGCTGCGGACGGGGCAGCTGGGCCACTGCGTGCTGGACGGCCACCAGGGGGGCGGCCCCTCCCAGCGCGGCCCTCGCTCCAGCTCGGCCAGGGTCTCCTGACCGCTCTGGAGCCACGCGGCCCGCGCAGCCCACGTGAAGCCCAGCGCCCAGAAGCAGCTGGTCTGACCGCGTGGGCCAGCAGGGAAGGCTCGGGAAGGGCTGGCCTCCGGGAAGCACGAGACGCTGGGCCAGTGGCTGCCCTGTTCTGGGCCCGGGCCCAGCTCCCCCACGCCTCTGGACCCATCTGGGGACCTTGTCGGCCCGGGTTCTGCCTGGTCAGAGTCCGGGGTCCTGGGCAGGCCAGGGGTGCAGGGGGGGCAGTTGCTCTGAGCGGAGTGTGGGTCCACTGGTCACTCTGGGATTCTTGTGCCAGGAGCAGGCCAGCAGAGACCCTCGGGGATGAAGGTGCTGGTCGCGTCCGCACCAACCCAGACTAATCAAGGTGCCGGCTGAGGACACGCATCCCAGGCAGAGCCTCTGGCCTTTGTGGAGAGCACAGCGTGGGCTCCTCCAGACCGGGGAAGGGCTGCCCCCTCTCCTGGAGCCTTACCGTCTCTGGCCCCAGGCCCATGCCCTCCCGTGGACTGCCCTGGCGTGGCAGGTTATGGGGACTCCCAGAGATTGGCCGCACAGGATGGGGAGCCCCATATGAGGACAGCAGGCCGGCCCTGGGCCCCTCGTGCTGGTTCTCCTGCCGCCTGCTGTGGCCAGGGCGGGGATGTCTGTCCAGGTGAGGCCTGGGTTCACGTGGTCAGCAGAGTGGCAGGGCTGGTGGCCCCGCTCGGACCCTGCAGCGGGGAGCAGACACTTCACTGACCCTCCGAGCTGGAGGTGAGGGGCTGGGCCCCGGGCAGGTGGGCTTTGGAGACCTCGGAGCCGTGGTCCACGTCTAAGCTCTAAGCTGGGGGATCCTTAGTCTCAGGGTGAAGTGAGGTGCCTGTTGTGGGAGCAGGAGGCGGAGGCGAGGACTGGGGCGGGGTGGGCCTGGCCTCACCTGAGGACTGGGGGAGCGGACTGGGAGAGAGCCCCTGGTGGGATGGGCTTCCCAGCCCGAAGCCCTTCCCCAAGGAGGTGCCCCCCGGCTGTGTGCACCCCCCAGAGTGTGCCTGGCACACAGCCTCCTCATTTTAAGGGCAGATGAGCCCCCTAAGTGGGGAGGGCACCGGGCCCTGCGGTCACTGAGCCCAGGAAGGGTGTGGGGGGTGGGACCCTGTCGGGGCTGAGCAGCGGGGACTGGACAAAAATACCTGTCCAGACCCTGTGCCGCACTTTCTGCGGAAGCGTCCATTAACGTCGAGGGTCCGGAGCCCCGGGCAGTGCGCGCGGCCCAGGACAAGTGCGGGCAGGCTGGCGTCCTCCTGCCGGCTGGTGCTTGTCCGGTGGCGGCTGGCGTGGCGGACGCCCCCCACAGCCTGCAGCAAGCTCCGGCAGCCCCTCCCGCCACCCCCTGCCGGCCTCTCACCTGCTCCCGGGGCTCCCTCTGAGACGGGCGGGACCTGGGACCTGCTTCCAGGCACAGAACCCCGCTGACTTTGTCCCCCGCTGATGTAAGCCTCCAAAGGCTCTTCTGCGGCCCAGGGTGGGCAGCCATAGGGTCGGGGGAGCCCAGGGCGTCCACCAGCCCCCAGGCAGCTGGGGCCTGGGCTCCTCAGACTCTGGGAAACGGCCCTGCCAGCAACCAGCCGAGCCTGCAGGCACCCTTCCCTGAGGAACCTGCCCAGGAGACCCTGAGCAGGGCGGGGGTGGGGGCTGGCGGTCAAGGCCTGCGGGACTTCAGACCTCGGAGACCGGGCGGGATGTAGTAAACGTGGGTTAGGTCGCTAGACTCAGGGTGGTCTGCTCCGAGCGGAGACGCTGACACACTGCGTGGTTTACTGGTGGGTCATTGCGTGGCTTATTTCTGCCTCAAGCCACCTGCATGGGGGCAGGCCCGCAGAGATGCCGGACCGTGTGGTGTTCTTCCTCTACCTGGTCTACAGCGGGGGGCAGACCGCCGCCACACCTCGGCTAACGGGCACTCACAGAAATGCCCAGCGCCCACCCCTCGCCCCGCTCTCTTGGACCCTCCCCCTGGGAACCAGCCTCCATGCTGCGAGGAAGCCCAACCAGCCCACGGAGGCGACCGCGTGCCCGCACCGCCCGGATCCAGCCAGGCCTGGGCCCGAAGACACTACCAGTGGCTCTAGCCATCAGCCGTCCTGTCGCCCCTGCCTCCGCGTCCTCCCAGCTGTGGGGCTCAGAGACGAGCTGTCCCGAGCCCGGGACAAACCCACCCAACACAGAGCCCAGGCGCCTAATGAAAAGCTGCATTATGTCCTCATGCTCCCGCTGGCTCGTTTCCCACCAGAGATCTCTGGGCCACCTTCCTGATGGAAGACGCCCCCAGGGCAATGCCGTAGCTACTCAGTAAAGATTTGTGGGGTGCATCTAATGAGGAGCCACAGGGTGGGCCCTGTGGAATCCCGTTGGTTCAAGCACTGATTGGCATGCAGGGGTTGCACGGGAAGAGCACGCACCTTCTCTGGGGCAGCGCGGAATCGGGGTGCTCCTCTCCTGGCTGCACGTGGGCTGTTGAGGGAGCCCAGAGGACGGCGTTGTTCTGGCTGAGGGCACACGGCAAGCCTGTCTGCCTTCTCTGGGTCCTCACGGACTCCGCTCCCCAGCCCCGGCCGAGGAGGAAGGAGCGGGCTTGGAGCCTGCCACCTGAGCCCGGAAAGGCCAGCACCTTCCCTGGGCTCAAGAAGCCCACCACGCCCACTCTGCACAGCGCCGCAGGGGTGACCCCTCCCGAGCCTGCGGGCAGTGCCACCGGCCTGACGGCCCCTGACTGGCAAGAGCTCTGAGGAGGCCCCCCAGGCCTCAGGGAGCAGACAGAGAAGGCAGCAAGAGGGGCAAAACTCTCGGGTTCCCTCTCTCTTTGGGAGCTTTGTACCCCCACTCGGTAAACCTTGCTTTGCTGCCCCCCCATACAAGCAGCAAGAGGCTGGGGGTCGTGGGCCTTCCCCCGGGTCTCCTGCACCCGAGGCTCCGGAGCAGCCAAGAGCTGAGGGCAGGCCTGCTGGCTAGTCCGGCCCCAAGGCCAGTGCCTGGCCCCAGGCCGCCTCCTCCCCAGGGCAGTGAATGAATGAGTGGGTGCGGAAATGAAGAAGTGCTATGTGCCAGATGAATGAATCTGCGTGTGATCAAAGGCAGGGCCCAGCATCCTTGAATATCACACTTGGGGGCCTGATGTAGGGGGACCTGTCCCCACTTAGCTAGACTTGGTGGCTGAGTGTGGCCTCCCTCTGAGCACGGGGTGGGGGTCCTTAAAGGGAACCCCAAATGCTGCAATGCGACTGGCAACCCATGTAGCCTGGAGCCCAAGCCCCAGCCGGGGGCCTTGCATCTGCCACCGGCTGAGCCATCCCTGCAGGGGCAGGAGGGTCCTCGTGGTGGGCCTGACCCTGCCTGCCCAGCAGAGCCCGGCCGGGAGGGTTGTGGGGGCAGGAGGAAGGGGTGAGTGGTGCCCTCCTGGCACAGCGGGGCTGGGCCACCCCGTGACATCTTAGGAAACTTTTATGAATTTTTGTGATTATAAGATAATAGGCATTTATGCCTGGAACAAGATAAAAACAAGCTGCCCCAGTGACTTCCTGCCCAGGTCCTTCCAGAATTTTCTTTCGATGCACAGCCGGTTATACTTAAGATTGAATTTGTTAATTGTAAAAGTCCTATAACAGCAGTATAGAAATTGGTGGGGGGCGGGGGCACCAAGCACTCCGGTGACGCTGAAGCAAGGCGCGGCCCCTCCCAGCTCCGTCCACCCTGGAGGGGTCGCGTCCAGGGCCCCCCTGCTCCGGGAGCGCGCCCCTGCGCAGTCGTGCGCGCCCATGCCCCTCGGCCGCGGCCCCGGGTCTCTCCTACCCCCGCGCCCCTCGGACCCCGCCCCGGCGCCCCGGCGCCCCGCCCCCGCCGGCCCGCGCGCTTCACCCTCCCCACCTGCGCCCCGCGGTGGAGCCGCCGAACGGAGGTGCCAGCAACTTTGTTGACTGAATTCCTGAACCCGCCCGAACCGCGGGGCTAAAAATAACCGGCACTCCCCTCGCCGCGCCCGACCGGGCCGCGCCGTGGCCCCGGTGTCGGCAGGCCGGAAGGTCCCGGCGCCGCCGCGTAGCGAGGCTGCGGGGTCACGGCCCGCCGGGCGGCGGGGAGACCGAGGCCCCGAGGGGCCCCGTCAGCTCCCGAGACTCTGCGGCCTCCCCGTCGCGGACGCGGGGCCCTGGAGGCCGCAGGCCGGACTCCGCGCCCCCCGCGCTGTGCGTCCTCCGCACCCCTGTGCCCCGCGCCCTCCGCGCGTGCAGTCCCCCGCGGCGGCCACCAGAGGGCCCTGCCCCCGCCGCTCGCGGGATGCCCGTCATCTCCCCTTCCCACAGCTGTTCCCCGCAGGAGATTGACAGCTGGGCTCCGGGTTGCCATGGGGATAGGCAAATGAGGGCGGCGGGTCTGGGGCTCCGATTGGCCTGGGGGCTCGCGCCCCTCCCAGGGAGGCGGGCCCGAGCGCCCTGCTCTATAAAGGGGAGCGCGCGGCGCGGCGCTCGGCCGTGGAGGCGGGGCCGGCTGGACGCGGGTGGGGCGCGGGGAGCCGGAGCAGCCCGAGGCGGCGGCCTCACTGCCACCCGCCCGGCCACCCGCCCGGCCGCCGACGAGGGGACAGGGAGCGCGGCCGGCCTGCGCCCCCCGGGGTGCGGCCGGGGCCGCCGGAGAGCCCCGACCCGCGGCCGCCCCCCGCCCCTAACTTGGCCGCGCGAAACTTTTCCCCGCGCGTCTGGGCGCCGCCCCCTCGCCGAGACCCGCCGCCCGTGGGGAGTGAAGGGGGGGAGAGGCCCGCGGCTCCCCCCCCCCCGCCTCCCGTCGGGGCGCAGCCGGGTGCGGCGGCGGGGCCGGGGCCCCGGGCGATGGCCGCGGAGCTGGCGATGGGCGCCGAGCTGCCCAACAGCCCGCTGGCCATCGAATACGTCAACGACTTCGACCTGATGAAGTTCGAGGTGAAGAAGGAACCGCCCGAGGCCGAGCGCTTCTGCCACCGCCTGCCGCCCGGCTCGCTGTCCTCGACGCCACTCAGCACGCCCTGCTCTTCCGTTCCCTCCTCGCCCAGCTTCTGCGCGCCCAGCCCGGGTACCGGCGGCGGCGGCGGCGCGGGGGGCGGCGGCGGCAGCGCGGCGCAGGCCGGGGCCACCCCGGGGCCGACGAGCGGAGGCCCGGGCGCCGTCGGGGGCGCCTCGGGGAAGCCGGCGCTGGAGGATCTGTACTGGATGAGCGGCTACCAGCACCACCTCAACCCCGAGGCGCTCCACCTGACGCCCGAGGACGCGGTGGAGGCGCTCATCGGCAGCGGCCACCACGCCGGGCACCACGGCGCGCACCCCCCGGCGGCCGCCGCGGCGTACGAGGCTTTCCGGAGCCAGGGCTTCGGGGGCGGCGGCGGCGCGGACGACGTGGGCGCCGGCCCGCATCACGGCGTGCACCACGCCGCCCACCACCACCACCACCACCACCACCACCACCACCACGCCGGCGCGGGCCCCGGCGGCGGCGGCGCGGCCCACCACGTGCGCCTGGAGGAGCGCTTCTCCGACGACCAGCTGGTGTCCATGTCGGTGCGCGAGCTGAACCGGCAGCTCCGCGGCTTCAGCAAGGAGGAGGTCGTCCGGCTGAAGCAGAAGCGGCGCACGCTCAAGAACCGCGGCTACGCGCAGTCGTGCCGCTTCAAGCGGGTGCAGCAGCGGCACATTCTGGAAAGCGAGAAGTGCCAGCTCCAGGGCCAGGTGGAGCAGCTGAAGCTGGAGGTGGGGCGCCTGGCCAAGGAGCGGGACCTGTACAAGGAGAAATACGAGAAGCTGGCGGGCCGGGGTGGCCCCGGGGGCGCGGGCGGGGCCGGCTTCCCGCGGGAGTCCTCGCCGCCGCAGGCCGGGCCCGGCGGGGCCAAGCGCGCGCCCGACCTCTTCCTGTGAGCGCCCGCGCGAGCGTGCGCCGCCGCCGGGCGGGCGGGCGGGCGGGCCCCGCGCGCCCCGCCGCCGGGTCCGCGGGCGCCGCACGGGAGGCCGCTGCTCGCGCCGCGCCTTCCTGGCCCGCCGTCCGGGCGCGGCCGCGGCCCCTGCGCGCGCGGAGCGCGGGGCTCCCCGGGACAGCTGGGCCGGAGCGAACTTCCTCCCCGGCGCCCGCCGGTACGAACGCCCAGCGGGCTCCTCCGCCCCGACGCCGCGCGCCCGCCTCCCCCCCGGCCGTCGTCCTTCTCGCGGCCTCAGCTTCCCTGCCCGTTTTTACTACTCCTTTTTAAAGCGACCTTATTTTCGAAGTATTTCTATTTATTTTGCTCGGTGATTAGGAAAGAAAACCCCGGAGGAAGCTCCCTCGTTCCCGGCCGGGGTCCACCCTCGGACGTCCGCGTGTCCCAGCATGTGTCGCTCGCTCGGAGGGGCCCGGCCCCTGCCTGCCCTCCTGCCCGCCTGCCCCCCACCCTGCCACCGGCGTCCCCTAGAGATCGAAGCCAAGGAATATTACCTATGCTGTGTTCAGTCCTGCTGCCCTACTATACTCACGGGGGGAGGGGGGTTGGGGGGGTCGCCGCGCTCTGCGGGTGGGGGCTGGCCCGGACTCCCCTGCTGCTATTTCTCTATGCACCAGATCGTATTTATGACTCCCGGGGAAATATATCTTATTTTAATCTTCAAGAGAAGTGGAAGAAAAAAAAAGTAATGCACAGTATTTCTAGCAAAAAAAAAAAAAAAAAAATTTTTTTTTTTTTAAGAGGAGGTTTCAGCCTGAACCTCCTGGCATGGAGGCGAGTGAAGAAAGTGTTTTTATTTTCATTTAAATTGTGTTTCGTTTTGCTTGTGGAATCTTTTTTTTTTTTTTAAAGCCCAGTGGCTTTTTGGACTAGCCAGTGGAGGGAAGGTAGTGCAGCCCCTGGCCAGCCGATCCCTGCAGGGCGGCCAGGCCCCTGGCCTCCAGTGGGTCCTGTGCTCTTTCCAGGCCTGCTCCTGCCCAGCGCTCTGAGCAGGAGATGCTCTAAGTCGTTGAAAGTTTTCCTGTGTTGTTGGGTTTTGTTGGATAATTTTTTCATTTGCTATGAAGCCGAGGAAAGGGGAAAAAAAAAAAAACACAAAATAAATCCGTTTAGATCCAAAGTCACTGGAGCCTGGTTGGTTTTTCTGTGGCTTTCATTTTTGCCCTGTTTCTCCCCGAATAGAAAGAAAAGGAGGTGCATGACCAGGGCCCTGCCTTAGCTGTGGGTGACCCGCCTGGGCCACCGGAGAGGCCCTGATCAGAGTTGTAAACAAGGCTGCGGTCAGCTGGTGGGACCTGCAGGCACCTTCCCTGGCCGCCTGGTGGGGAGGAAGGCCTCAAGGTGGTGGCCCCAGGCTCCCTCTAAGGCGGGATGGTGGTGATGCCACGTGCAGGGCCCATGTGTGCTGGTGGCTGGTACTTGTCCCCAGTTCTGAGCCCGCAGGCCCCCCCCCTCCAAAGGGGTGGCCCGGCCTCTGTCTTCTAAAGGGTCAAGACCAGGTTGCGGGGGCGCCAGGGAGGAGCGGGACCTCTGGAAATCTCACACCCTAACGGGTCCCAGGGCAATTGCAGGACTTAGGGGACCATGGGACCAAGGCTGGTGAAGGTCCGCGGTGTGCATATTTAAAGGGATGAGCTTCGCGGGCCAGCCAGCTCTGCGCTGCTTTTCGGTCTGGAGACAGCAAAGGCTGGTCCTCGGGGTTGGGACGGCTGCCGTTCTCTGAGTGTGTGGCCTGAGCTTGTCTTACCGTCTCAGTCTGACCCAGAGAAAAGGTGGGGGCTGCCGCCTCCCCTTTTGCTTTAGAATAAAACTGGTAACAAGATGGTTGGGTCTCCGTGGGGGTTTGAGCAAAATCCCCAAACCCAGGGGCTGAGATCTCGAGCCTTCAGGAGGGGAGCAAGAGGCTGTACATCTGGGGGGCAAAAACGCTGGTGCAGAGAGAAGTAGAAATGGGGGGGGTGCGGGGATGAGCTCAAGGACCAGGTGGGGAGGCTGCAGCACGACCAGGGGCAGCCAGCCCAGCAGGTCCCAGCCAGCCTCGGTAAGGGGACCCCGAGGACTCAAGAGGATCACCAGAGGCGGCGGGTGTCCTTTCGGGTATGGGCAGGGTCTGCTGGCTGGTTTTTGACAAGGACACCTTAGTTTTCACTGTTGCCACCGGAAGAGCCACCTGGGAGTCTTCCTCCTGGCAGAGAAAGCAGGCTGGAGGACCGGGCAGCCGGGCCCATCGAGGACCGGACGGGGCCGCGGGGCCCGGAGGCTGTCTCTTTGAGGAGGCTGCGCTCACCCCCTCTCTCCAGCCCGCCAGGCCTCCCGGAGCGCAGCCCACGAGAACCTGGATTGGGCCCCACCACGGCCATCCCCCAGCTGCCGCCCTCGGTGGGTTTCTCCGCAGCGCTGGGCTCGGCGCCGCTGTCCTGTTCTATCTTCTGTTTCCCTCCTTCTCTCTCTTTTGTTCCTTCCTCCCCCACCTGGCCCCTTTCCTTCTTTTGCCCGGGAGAGAATGAACTTGAACACCCGGAAGTCATTGTGGGAGGGAGGGAGGGAGGAGGAGCGCTACTTTTTGTGTTTAGAGGCAGATCTTTTCCTGGGAAAACAGCCCATTTGGGGAAAGCACGTCTGGTTCCCGAGCTCTCCTGTGCGCACCGGCCCCCGACTCGCTGTCCGCGGGCTCTGCTCGGCCCTCCCCTGGCTGGCGCAGGGGCCCCCAATGGGCCAGGCCTCCCCAGGAGGGGCTGAGCAGTCAGGCTGGGGCTGGGGCTGGGCAGAGGACCCGCCAGGAAAAAGGGTCGTCTGGGTGTCTGCGGGACTGTGAGTGTGGAGGACACGCAGGTGCGTGGGAGCCGCGGTAGCTTGGAGTCGCCTGGGCCGGAGGGCTGAGAGGAAGCTGGCAGGGCAGCCCCGGGGCGCGGGCTTAAGCCCCTGAGCCCCGCACCCCCTGAGAGGGGTGACCCACACCCTCGGCCTGGATGTTCAAGGGGGGCCGTGGTGGCGCCCTCGCCTCAGCCACTCGGCTCCCTCGGCCCATGCTCTGCCCTCCCCGCAGGGGTCCCAGGAGACATCTTTCTGATGGAATCGTACATCCTTGGGGCCTCCACCAACCCTGCCCCGCCTTGCACCCTACCCCCCACCCCACAGGCATTCATTCCTTGGTTACTTCATTCAGTCTGAGAGTCCCTTCTCTGTGCCCGGCCGGCAGGGACCCCAGCAGGGACCACAATGACCGCCCTGGCCCAGAGCTCCGGGGGAGCTGTAGCAAACTCACCAGTGCGCGAGCTGGTCCACTGCTGAGTGCCAGAGGAAGGAAGGAGGTGGGGGGTTGGGTTTGCATACTGCAGCGGTGGGCTGGGACATCGAGGCAGGTGCAGGCAGCCTAGAGGGTGTCAGGAGGAGCAGAGGGAGACTCGTGAAGGGGCTGCGCTGGGAGGGACAGGACCTCACCCACATGCTTCACGTGTGCACCCTCAACACGAACACACTCCATGCACACTGAACCCGTGGGCACTGGACATAGCCCCCCACACTCGTCCCCTGCGTGGCCGCCCCACCACAGCAGCTCTACCCCGCCCTCGCGGCGACTCCCAGGGCTGGGCCGAAGCCGCCCCAGCTCCTGGCCGAGGCCTGGGAGATCCCTCCCAGCACCGTACCCCATCCCACCCTCGCTGTACCTCTGCCCCAGCAGCCTCTGGGGCAGCGCCATTCCAGGCCCCCAGCCCCCACACAGAGCACCCAGTTGAGTTTTGTCCTCTGAGCCTGCAAGGGGCCCTACACCCCAAACATGCACACACACCACACAGCCGCCCCCTTGCCCTCCAGCTGGTTAAGGGTTCCAGGAATCCAGCTCCCAGCCGCCGGCCCTAGGTGGGCCCCAGGGCTGCTCTGTATTGGGGGCACCCCACTTCTGTCTGCAGCCTGCAGCCCGTGACTGTCCGAAGGGCCCCCCCGCCCGGTCTCCTATTTATAGTTGGCTCCTAGGGTGGTCTAGTGCAAGGCCAAGGTGTCCTCTTCCTGGCCTCCCCCGTGAGGATGCACACAGGCAGGCAGGCAGGCAAAGGTCTGGGTGACGGGAGCAGACACGTGTGTGTGTAGACATGGCCATGTGCGCAGACTGAGACGTGCAAATGCACAGACCTCAACCCCCCCCCACATGCACACACACGGGTACACACGCGTGGGAGCTCACAGACACACACACAAAGGACAGCGCACACACACGTGACCTGTACACGGGGACCCCGTGGGTTTTGTCTGTCCCGGTCCCTGCACCTCCCTTCCTGGCTGTGTGGTCTCGTGGGCTCTGACACTGGCCACCCCAGGGAAGTGTCGCCCTCAGCCACCATCTGCTTGTTTTTGCCTGACCCCAAGACCCCACAGCCCACGCCACCTGCCCTGGATGCTACCACTCTGTCCCAGCCTGGCTCCCCCACGCCACCAGTGAGCGCCCAGAGGCCTTGCTCCTTGCCACGTGGCGCTGAGAGCTGAGGCCTTCCCTAGGCCTACCCAACCCCTGGGGGCGGATGGGACACAAAGCCCAGCCTCTGCCTCATTGGGCCCTTTACCGATTGCGCTGGGTTGGAGGCTCCGTGCCCAGGGCTCATTCACTCAGTGGGTCCTGGGTGCAGCCTGGGGGGCCTATGTGGTGGCCTGGAAGGGCTCAGCGGGCCCGCCCGCAGACAGGGGCATGGGGCTCTGTGACCCGACTACTAGGCAGGGCCTGGAGCCTGGGGCTGATGGCCCCTTCTGGCTCCCAAGGAATGTCAAACCACCCCGTCTGTGGTCACGCATGGGACTGTCCGGCCCAGGGTCTGGGGACTTGGGGCAGTGTGAGCCACAGGAAGAAACCAGCCTGTACCCAGACCCCAGTGGAGCCTGGGACGACTCCTCTCTAGCTGCTCTGGGAAGCAAGCAAGTGGGAGCTTTAAGCCAGCCACAGAGGTGACAAGCTGGGTTGTCCCTCGCATTTGAGGG